ATCTTGACAGTGTCGCCGTCGGGCCAATCCCTGCACTGGCAGTCAGCTGCGTCTCCGCGAACACACGCGCGCGGAACTCGGACGCAACATCCGCCGCAGTCATGCTAGGGTGAGCCCGCAGGTACGCCGTCACCTCCATCGTCAGCTCGTCAAGGCCCACGCTAGTGAAGTTGGGGTCGTACTCGGCCGCAATTCCCCGCACCACGGCGCTCTCCGCACGGTACGCGTCAAAGTCGGTTGGCACAATGACGAGTGAGGGGCACAGCTTCCTGCCAATATACCCTGGCATCCCGGAGCGCACACCGTATCGTCGCGCTACGTAGTTGGTCGTAGACAGCATATCGAGGCTCCCTACACCCACCGGGAGATCCAAAAGCGCGGGATTCTTCTTCATCTCCACAGCGGCATAAAACATATCCATGTCTACGTGCACATAATTGCGGAACTGGCGCTCTGCCTCCAGCTCTCGTTCGATTTGCCTAACTTTACTTTCCCACTGCTTTCTGCGTGCTACATTCCTTTCTCCACTCATGCATTGCGCAAATTGCGCAGTCTTCTGGCGAAGCTGCAGCACATGCTTCTGACGAAGCTCAGCCTTGCGGCGTTCGTTGATGTAATAGCTAGAACCTTTAGATGCCTCTTGGATAATGGCCGCAGTCTTATCCGCGTCAGCCTGCTCCAATCCGGCCTTGTGATTGTCAAACTGGAGTTTGAAGTCCGGCACAAGTTGCACCGCTGGAAGAACATGCGTGGCCGCCATGTTACTGCTACACGGTTTGTCCCTCTCTCTCTGCACCTTCCCGATCTTGTTGCCCTCCGACAGGTCCATTTGCAACTTACCCAATGCAATTTGTTTTACTTCATCGTCGTATCGTTCTAGCGCATGCATTGCAAAATTGCCAGTGGGCAGTGCAAACGCAGTTGTGAGTGGTACTGTGCCGCTGTCTCCCTCACACGTGCAGGGCCACGCAGCGGAGGTAAGAACTTCTAACAGCCGCTCCTGCGAGAGTTACGTCCTTCTCCTTCCTTCGCTTCCACGCCGCCCCTTGGCTCACTTCTAAGAAGAACTAAAAAAAAAAACAGATAAAAATGGGGCATGGTGTACATGCCATTAATGCGACGTTCCTCCTCTCCGCTCCTATCATTCCGCGTGACGCGCACACCACGGTTTCCCCATCCCAGATAGATGCAACCCTCCCACAAGTAAAACTGGTGGCCAAAAAAAAAACCACGCCCATGAGAATAAGCCTCCATACAGACGTACAATGTGCATGCACCAAACACTGCACTCTGTTCTGTTTTTACTTTAAGTTGGATTCGCTGCTTTAGATTCCCTTTTTTTCTCTCTCTTTAAATCTTCCCGCTTTCCTTCTTAAATGCCTTATGTATGTTTTTTTTAAAAAAAAATATTTGTGTCCACATCGGTGAGCCTCTTTTTCATCACTTTGTTTCCCCTTTCATGATGAAAGTTACACCAGGGCAACTTACATGTAGTCGCGTGTGGCAACATTGAGGCGGGGCAACGGAGGGAATGGGAGAAACAACCAAAGAGGGGGGAAAACAAAAGGGAGGGGGGAAAACAAAAGGGAGGGAGGGAGGGGGGAGTGTGTTGTTGTTGGTGCTTCTGTTGGTAGGCGCACCCCACAACTCCTTCGGTAGGAGGAGGTGGAGGACGAGCCCATGCGTCCGCAAACAAACAGAAAAAGCAAACAAAAACGGCTGCTCACACACACAACAAAAAAAAAAAGAAATACCCCGGGGGTGGGTGTGGGAGGAGACAAATAAATAAAGGAAAGATGCAGAAACAGCAGCCAACGCAGTAAAACTAAAAATAATATGGCGACACACAAAAAAGCAGGGCCAAGACCAACAGCGCCTGTAGCATGCAAAGTGCTGCTGGTTGCGGAAGATACAAAGTGACAAAACAAAAACAAAAAGTACAAAATAAAGCACCACCACCACCACGCCCATGATGCCGCTAAACTTACAAGGTTTTCTCTCTTTCCCTCGCTCTCGGTTACTTACGTTCGACTCACACGAATCTGTTTATTCTTCTGTTCCCCCTCTATGGACGTCATCTTTCCCCTTCGGCCCGCTACTTCCAGCGGCTCATACTTCCCGCCCACCACCACCTTTTTTTTTCCAATATGTTTTATGCCTCCGTCTTCCCTCTTCTAGAGGGTCACAAGAAGGGCATCTCAGCCAAAGACACACAGAGACAGATGGAGAAAAAAAGGAGGAGTGAAGGAAGGACAAAAAGGGATGTTTTTTTATTTTTTCAAAGACAACAAACCAACGAGGAACCCATAAATTCTCCAAGACACACAAACAAAAAGAGAAATACGCAAAATAATAATAATCACAATTCCATCTGACTGCTGCTGCAATATAATTTGAAGATTAATTAGGTGAAAGAACCCCTGTGGGTTAGCGTCACCTCGTTGGAGTGGTGGCATCAAAGTAATGTCCGTGCGGATGGTCGCATCAAGTTGTGGAGTGTCAGAATTTGGAGTGGGACATTAGTAACACGCCTCTTAAATAAGTGTGACCCACTAACCACCATACTGCCCAACTACTGCTGCCGCGTTGCAGCTTCCGCCGTCCCCGTGCTGGCGGGAGGGTTCACAACCAATGATGCGTGGGACTATCGCCCGCTCATTGACCCCACCAACTCCAAAGAAGACTTCCCACCAAACATAGCATTTGCCCCCACACAAGGGCGGTGTTCCCGTCAGAGAGTCAAAGGTGGGTGGGCTGTTTCGGTGTGATATGTGAGGTAGCAATAACATCGTGCCGTATCTCATGAAAAAGGCAGCATGAACTGCCATGATTGCAGCGGCCCTCAGCGTAGTGTCTCCACAGGTTGAGAAACTTCTGCTGGCTCCCGCTGGTATGGTTGACCGCGTCTTCGCATGGATTGTGCGCATAGCCCCATTCCTTCTCATCTGTAGGCCCACCAAAAAAGCCAACGCTTCCTTGACGACTCAGAAAGAGAGGACTTACCTCCCGGCATCGTTCTCTGCTTCTTGCTATTGTTATCGTGGTTTTATTGCGGGCTCATGTTTCTTCGTTGTGGAATTTTTTTTGTTTTGTTTTTATTGTTTTTAATTCCCCACCACATTTTCTTCTCTCTCTTCGCTGCACACCCCCGTTTGGAGTGAAGGTTCTCCCGTCTTCCTTGGGTTGTGCCCGCCGCCGCGTGGTCCCACACCTACATGGCTTCTTCCATTCTTCCGTGTCTTTCACGAGACAGCGCGGCCTCTCTTCTCCAGTTATCCTCGTTTTCTATCACGTACACTTCAACCTCCGCAATGTACACGGCTACCGCCCCAACCACAAAGCAGGAATAGACGCCACAACAAATTTAAAAAAGTGAAAGGAAGAGAATGTTACGACAAGAACCCACGCCATCTACGGGCATCATACACATTCATCAAGAGCCTCAAAAACACCCCAACAACACGCAGTGGAATCAAAAGCAATAACACTAAAAAAAAAAAAACGAACCCAACATAGCTCAATCCGGAGCAGAGACCCTTTTATAAAACTGATCCCATCAGCATCTAACCAGTGATCAGGAATCAAATTGTACTTATAGACCAAAGACCTCCCGTAGCTTTTTTGCAACGCCGTCTTCCCTGTTGGTGCCAATCACTTCCAGCTGCGGTAACGCCTCCTTCAGCCGTGGATGGGCATTCGCCACAAGACAACCTTTCCCAGCCTGTTGCAGCATCTTGCGGTCATTCATTCCATCGCCAAAGGCAATAAAATCATTTTCACTTAGGCCCATCAACTGGGCCACTTCGCACAACGCCCTGCCCTTGTTGACCCCAGGTCGCACAGCATCAAGAATAAAGTGCAGTGACAGGTTGTGTTCCACTCGGCCTTCAAATCGTTTTTCCAGTATCTTCTCCAGACGCAACAATACTTCTTCTTTCCCTACGTAAAACACAGCATGTACACCATCAAGTGGACGCTTCGTTAGATCATCTTCCTTGTAGCGGAAACCCGATTTCGGGTATGCCGCAAGCATTCTTTCCAAACCATGATTTGTCACCCATTCTTCATGTTGATACAAGTTGACAGTGAACAATGGCTCTTCTGCGTCTTCATCTTCATCGTCAAGTTTAATGGTCACAAGCTCGGCAACAACGTCAGGATCCACATCGTGTGAGGCAATGACGTGTCGCTCCGGGTCAAACACCCTCGCCCCGTTGCTCGTAATGAGATAGCCGCCCTCCAAGCCGCAGCTGTCGATGGTATGAAGCACATCAGGATGGGGACGACCAGTGGCAAAAACAACAGGGATGCCTTTGTCCCGCAGTAGCTTCAACGTCTCAGCAGTGTACTGGGAAACTTCATGGTTCTCGTTGAAAAGTGTCCCATCGAGGTCTGTTATCACCGCACGAAATGACATGTCAAATAACCTGCTGTGAATCGTAATACAATTAAAAAGCTGTTTCTTCGTCACCTTTTGCGCCCTTGGCAGTATGTGTTGTTATACTTACCATCAGGAGCGGGTTGGTAAATATATATGAATTGGAAAAGATTGAGCGCACAAAAAAAAAAAAAAACTCTACCGAGAGGCAAATATGAATAAATTTTAAAAAAGGGCGCAGCGGCATGCTTGCAACAACGAACAAGTCTGCGTCATTCCTGCGCATGGGATGCGTCATGTCATTAGCCAAGACACCACATCATGAGGAAGGGGCAAAATTCTCCTCAAAAACGTTCTACTTTGCAGGAGGTGTGAAACGGAATAGATAACAAAAACATACAATAATGCCTCACCGCACTTACCGCAGCGTTGCGGAAATTGAAGCCACAGACGCACACACTGCCACGTAGAAAGATGCCTGCTCAGAACTGACTTCCCCGCTTCTACATTTTCCGTCCGTCGAAAGTGCATGAAGATCAGGATTCCGTTCCAGTGAAAGCAAAAACAAAACAAAAAGAAAACAACACCATACAAACTCAAAACGGCAATACACACAATTGTTACACAATGGAATCAGTACAGCTCCATCCTAAGTAGAATGTATTTTTCCCCACACACCTCAAATTGAAACCGTGGCGTCTTTCGCGGGTCTAGTGGCTTTGGGTATCACTCTCTTTGAAGCCTTTCCCACATGGACTTCTGCGGAAGTAGTGGTAGCCCTGGTATTGGTGGGGGTCTTGTGCAACTTGTTTGGCACCCTTTTTTTACTTCTTCGGAGACTGGCGCTTTTGGTCTGTTTGGGGGATCGTGTTGAAGTGGGTGATGTGTTACCAGACATGACTGAATTGGCCTCTGCAGAGACCGCCTTTCGTCTATGAGCGCCAGTTACAACGGCTGGAGCTACTTCCTTCTGCACGTTCAATCCCTGCTCAGGGGCTTCCATTTCCGTAAAAACCAACCGCTCTGTGACACCATCCGCGTCCAGTTCCTCCACCTGTCTTTTCTCTGCTGGGCGATAGCGTGTGGAATGAAGAACGAGATGAAGCACTGCTGTGCTGCATCGACGCAATTCATGCCGCACCTTCGAAGCAGAAACGGCAGGAACGCCGTTCACCGACACAATGCGTATGGCGTTCATGTACGGTAAGGAGGCCCTGGAGAGAAATTGCTTTGCCACCACTGACCCCCCCACAACCTCGTCTGGCAGCGGGTTGAGATAGATGGAGTTCTTTCGTTGGTGCACGCCCAGCTCCCACGGATCACGCGAGGAGCGACGGCTCATGCTAAGCGTCGCCCACGGCTCCACCTTGTTGCCGCCGATGCACTCGTTTACTGTGAAAGACATGAGCGTAAGAGGCCACACAAAATTTGGCCTGCATCTTGAGAACATGAGCGCCGCCGCCTTGATCCCTCTTACACGTGCGTGATTATATGTACTGTAAAAAATACCAGAGATGACGTATGTTTTCTTTCCACTGAAAAAAAACAACAACATACACACACAATGGAGGCAAAATAGGCATAAATGAAAAAAAGGACAAGGAGGAGATTAAAAAGGGAGAGGAAAAAAAAAGACGACACGGCCTGGTAAAGGGTCCATTAGAACGCTTCACAGGCAACAACTAGCAGATACAACATGCAAACGGAAGGAACTCAGTCCGGTGTATATTCCTCGTCCTCCTCTTCTTCATCGTGTCCCTCATTACACAAATCGTCATCACTCTTCTTCTTGCTCTGTGAATATGCTCCCAAGATTTTTTCACCCCCCGCACCTGACGCCTGTTCAAGACAGGAACGTTTTGCCACTGGCACTGAAGAAGCTTCACATCGTTCCAGTGCCTCTCGCAGAGCAGTAACCCTCAAGGAAAAGTTCACACTATGTCTCGTGTCATACGCCGCACGACGCTCCGGGTCGGAAAGAATCTCGTATGCCTCAGTGATGCGCTGATAGCGCTGCAACTGTGCCTCAGTGCTCACGTCACTGTCCGTGCGGTATGACGCACGGTCGGGGTGCAACTGCAGCGATAACCTCTTGAAATGTCGAGACAACTCAGCCTGGCTGACGTTAACTGGCACGCCAAGAACTGCGTACAATGGCGGTAAGGAGGCCGACACACCAGCGGAGGAGGAACTCATGCTGCGTCGTCGTCGTACTCGCGCCCTCCCGCTGCGGGAAGAAGAATTCCCGCTTCTTCTTTTCTTTTTTTTTTTTTGCGGTGCCCAAAAAGAAGGTGGGACAAGTTTTTTTTAAAAAAAATGCATGTGCGCCGTTAAGTTGTTGAGTGTGTTGTGCGCCGACATGGAAGCAGGAATGAAGAGAGGGACCAAAAGGAAGCGAATGTGTGGGAGTGTGTAGCACCAGCAAGAAACATGCACAATACACGCCCTACACGCAGGACACATACACATACACATGCACACACACAAAAAAAAAACAGGGGGCAGCAAACAAAGATACACAACAAAGAGGCATGTGAACATCCTTGGATTCAATTAGTGGTAGTGTACATAACGGAGCAAAAAGACTGTGGTGCGACGGAACCAAATACAGTAAGAAGCAGCTCGTCCTGGAGAAACTTGGAAAGGTCACAAATCACGGCTTGTCGAATGTCAAAGTCTGGTTTCACAGCCTCACGACAGTCACGGCCGGATGGTGTGTTCGCCCTTGACTGCGTAGTACATACTGGAACACACAGTGTCTCCTTAAAAAGAACCTGACGTTCCCACTGGCACCGTAAGACGATACCCTCCCGTATCAGCTGATGTTCCGCCATGAGGTGACAGCTTGCGTGTTGTAGCTTCTGCTCCTGGGATGCCTGATGCATCGTGTCGCCGTATTCCACCAGCCAGCTGTGTGCGGTGGCCATAGTAGAGAAACCATCTACCTCGTCATTCACGATGCGCAGTCGTAATCGTTCCTCTTCCTGCATTAGCAAGTGCAGCTGACGCTGAAGCATCCACCGCAGCACCACGTATTTGTCCCTTCCTCTGCAGTAGAGACCGTAAAACATCAGCCGACCCATGGTTCGCAGTTTCGTCTCAAGCAACATGACCTCTCCTCGACGGAGCCGTTCATATTCCACGAGCAGCTGGATACTTACTTGCAGCTGTGTGCGTCGCAGTTGCAATCCAAGTTCCTCTAGTTGAATTTGCATTAGCGCGTGAGAGTGGTTGCGAAACTGATCAGGCTGAATATCTTGTGCCAACGCCTCAGCTTCAGCCCGCCATATAAGCTGCCGCCCTTGTGCCTCCACATCGCCCACCAACTTCTGCATAAACGCTTCCTCCTCCGACACAATTACGCGTCGGCAGAGACTCTCATATGTATACATAAGTAAGCAAAACTCCACTAACTCGTACGCAGTAATTTCCGCGCGCGCTCCCTTTTCCGCCCCAAAGTTATTCACAACACGTACATATGTAAAGTAAGGAATAAAAAGAGATCCCCGATACTCCGCCAAATAGTGTCGGCTAAAACGCTTCACTCTCCGAGATGCCCCCCTTGGCGACTTACTTCTTGGATGATGAGACAACCTGACTGTGGCATGGATACTTTCCTCACTCGCTAGCTTCATGCAGAACGCGTGATATCCCATGAGCATTTCAAAACGTTCTGCTTCATCCCTTCGAATGTGTTGAATCCCCTCAAAGGCCAGAAAACCAAGTCTATACTGCCCACTTAAGGCAGACAACCCTTCTTCTCGCTCAGCAAGCAAGGAGTTCTGAAGAAAGGCGTTTTCCCCAATCACAATGGATACGAAGAGGCAGACCAGATTCACTTCAGGCTCCAAGGGGATTGCCGATTCCTCGAGAAGCTCCAAATCCCAACGAAGATACTTGCATGGCAGCGGTGTACTGCAGGATACATATTGACCGAGAAGGAACAATCTGGCCACCTTCTCTTCTCGAACAACTTCAATCAACTGACGCCACACCTCAAGTCTCTGCATAAACTCCTTCCAAATCATCAGCTTGCCCTGCAGCATCTCCTGGGTTATCTCTAACTTTCTACAGCGACGAGACCACGGCTCAACGATGTCGCGCTGACGACAGGCAGCTTCCTCCACTTCAAGGTGCTGCGGTGACGTTGTTTCACCTTGTGTGCGTTTCAAGACCCTTCTAAAGGCATTTTTCACCATTTTCATCAACTCCGCGTCACTAGTAGTGATGGGCGGCTCATGCGCAAACCTCCAGGAAGGCAGAACGTCTGCGCTAGTGCGCGTATTATAGCATTGCACCGGTGACATTGCGAGTGAAGTTGATACAATTAGGGCACGCTCCCGCGTCTCTTCGTACATGAGCCAATGTAAACTGCGTTGTAACGACTTCACCGACCTTTGCTGAAACGTTGCCCTTTCCGTACATCCTGTCGAGAGACCCATTATCGCAGCACGGTGCAATGGCGCATGCCTGCCCTGAAGCAAGAAAGCATCGCACGACAAGGTCTTGTCACTACAGGCGATACCGGGCAATTTTGGGCGGAATACAGAACCTGATTTCTGTTCAGCAAAAGGCTCGTACCGCGTTGTTGTACGCTGCTGTTGCGGGAGCAGTGGTAGTTGACTCATGACTTACTTCCACCTATTCCTCCTCCTTGACTTTCCCGTGTGCGAATGAGAGTAGAATTACTGTACTGGTGATAAACACTGAGGGTGTGTCCCTTTGCAGCAACTGCAGCTTTCTGCGGCTCCGCTAATGTTGCTGAAGCTGTTACTGGTGGGAAAACGCCACGGTGGCGTCCGCAGCAGCGCTGCTCTTTACCCTCACACGAGGATAGAACACAAGATGTAAGCAAAAAAAAAAAAACAGCCGACTTCATTCAAAATAAGAAGCTCAGTGAACACAAACAAACAAGCAAAAAACGTTGGCTGACGTATTTAGACACAAAAAAAAACATTTATACATAAGGTGCCATTGACAATACCGCAAGAGGCATCACTCCCAGATATACCCACGCACGCACAAGTCGGCGGAAACAGCAGCCCCTCTACTGCCAGAGGACTCCAGTCAAAGAAGGGATTGTGGAACTGAAGAAGTAGCCAAGCATGATGGAAAAAAAAAGAAGAGAAAAGTGAAGAAAGAAAGCGAAGTCACCTGAACGGAATTAATAGTCAAAGTGCGCCAATCAATATTCATAAAATAAGAAGAATACCAAAATCAATCAGAAAGGCAAGTAACGTCTGTCGTCCTCCTTCACGCCCCTTTCCTTTCTGCCTTGCCTTTAGGCAAATTTCCGTAATAAATCGAAATTTGATATTCCCCCTTCTCAAACCCAAAGTGGCCCACAAATGATAAGAGAGAGAGTGAGATAGGAAGGGCACAAGATCTATATGCAACGAATAATAAAAAAAAAAGACAGTACGCGTAATCTCGCCAGTGCCACCTGCTCCTCTCTCTCTCTCTCTCTCTCTCTCTCT